TTCTCTTTTCGACAAGAAAGAGGGAAGGGAGAGACAAGGGAGAGAGGATAGATAAAGAAGAGTGCCATTTTCTCTGCGCCTTGTTCTGTCTCTCCCTCTTCTCCACTCATCTCCCTTCTATTCTTTTCTTTGCTCTTCCCATCAAAAAGGCAATCCTTTTTATCCCTCCTGTCTCCTTCTCTCTCCCTCCTCTTCTCCTGTTCCCCTTTAAACGACAAAAACGCAAGAAAGGAAGAATAAGAGGGGAATGGAGGCCCTGTTCCTTTCTTCTCCTCTTTCAATGGATGGGGGAAGTGGGCGGAGTTGGCTCCTTGCCCGTAGACCCTCCCCATGCTTCAACAAACCCCTCCTCTCGCCCTATCGCCTCTGTTCATTTCCTAGTGCCCAAACAGAGAACGAAAACGGGTTCCTTTACATGTTCATTGTCCTTCCTTTTGTTTTTTATTTCAAAGGGAAAAGAACCAGAGAAGAGAAAGATAAGAACGAGAGGTAAGATGAACACGGTACCATCTTGTCTTTGCCTTATTTTTGCACCTCCCTGAACGAAAAAGAAAAAGAATAAAAATATAGGGAATTACATTGAAGAGCTCCACTGCCTACTGTTTCATTTCCTGTCCTCTCTTTCTATGTGTTGTTTAACTTGTCGTTTCAGAAAGCAAGCGCAATAAGGGCAAGGGGGGCTTCCTGAAGAGGAGAGAGGGCACCTGTCTGCAAAGAGCAAGAATAGTCTTGTCTTGTTTAATTATAGAGGGAAAAGGGAGAGACAAGGAAGGGAGAGATGATAGATAAAGAAGAGTGCCATCTGTGTTCCTCCGTCTCCTTGTTTCTTGTCTCTTCTCTCTTCTTTTCGGTACCCTTCCAGAAAATTAAAATGGCCTCCTTGTTGTCTTCTGTCCTCTCTCACTTCCCTTTCCCTTCTCTCCTTCTGTTTGCCTTTTAACTTTAACTGATAAAACACAAGAAAGGAGCTTGCAAAATAAAGCAGTGGAAGGGTAAGCAGAAGGTGACTCCGTGTGCGTGGACCTTTGCTGTACTTCATCATATCCGTCTTCTCGGCCTATCTCTTCGGCTCTTTCTAACCCTTCTCCTTTTCATAATTGTTTCTTTTTGGTTTTCTTATTTCGAAAAGACAGAGTGCCATCTTCTTTACGCCTTGTTTTGTCTCTCCCTCTCCTTTATTCATATCTCTGCTATTCTTTTCTTGGCTCTTCCCATTAAAATTGTGTTCCTCGTATCTCTCCCTTCTCTTCTCCTGTTCACGAGAGCCTTCGACTTTAGGGTTGAGGAGAAAAAGACAAGAGAGAACAGGAACTACTTGGTTCTTGTTCCTGAGGCCACCATAGTACGACTGACGTGACAGCAGCGTACCCTCGTGGAAACGTGTATGGCTATTAATAAAGCCCGATTGCCAGCTTCCAAATCAACCCTATTTAAGCCACCCACGGGGGGGGGGGGAGGGGGGGGGGTAGGGGGGGGGGTGGGTTGGGGGGGGTGGGGGGGGGTGGGTGGGGGGGGGGGGGGGGGGGGGGGGGGGGAGTAGGGGTAGGGTCGGCGGACCTTAGCCCTAAACCCCAAACCCCAAACCCTAAACCCTAATCCCTAAACCCCAAACATGACGCGTGCCAACGAGTCGAGTCATTCTCCACAGGCCCTTGGATGACCCCAACCACTCAACTCGAAAGCCCAAAACCGTCATTCCCTGACTTACGGACACGGATGCTGTGGTTACTGGCAACTACGAAGAAGTATCTAAACCATGAGACAACAAAGCGAAAGCAACAAACGCGACACCCAGCAACCAAAAAAAAAGGAATCAGCAAGCAAGCAAAGCAAGAAAACAAAAATAATATATATATATATATATAGATATATAAAAGCACACCGAGGCTCCTTCGAGCCAGAAGCCAACGACATATCCTAACCCTAGACTCTGCAAGGAGCCCCAAAGGATTTTTCTGGCGCATGTTAATGCTTCGTTGGGCAGGCCCTAAACCCTAAACCCGAAACCCTACACCAGGCGCTCTGAGAGGGGCGTTTTTGCACTATTGGCACGCCGAGTCGGGTAGGGTGGGGCCTCGGCTCTCTGGACGAAACCACCCTAAGCCCTTGCAGCTCAGACATTTGGGCTTCCGAGAGCTTACGAGGCCCCTGCTGATCATATTGGCCCGTTGCCAGCCACAGGTGTCCTTCCGAAAACTGGGGAGTGCGCGCGCGCAGTTTAGCACCTCCCCTAAAAGCCCTGAAACTCTAAAGCCGCAGCTTCCTCGATCAAGCAGAGACGCCTTGGATCGTGTCGTGGTTTAGGGGTTTTCAAAGGTTGTGCGTTCGTGCTTTCCAGGTTCCGCAAGGAAGGTCTAGCAAGTGCAGTGCAGCATGATCACATGTTCATTGTCACAGTCACCCCCTTCTAGGCTCACAGGGTTACGGTTCAGGGTCCAGGCCGAGGAGTTAGATCGATTTGCTAGAGCGGCTTGCCCGCATGGCTCCCAAAGTAACTCCG